AAAACCTGTCTTACAGGTATTTGGATGTGGTTTTGCACTGTAGCTTTAATTGATGTGTCAAATCATATTGAAAGCTGTTTTCGTATTTATTTTTAGTTTATTTGGTTTTATTTCCTGAATCAGAACCTGCTGAAAACAACTAAAATCCAAAGGATGCTATTGTGTCCGCCAGAGAATTTTGTGTACTTTATTACTGATATTTTATTCATACCATTACTATATTATTAAAATGCTAAAGTGTATAAATATTTCTCTATTATTAACTGCAAAAATGTATCTTTTGGGATAAAAGACCAGATACAAGATCGATATTCTTTATGCACAACTCTGTTCACTTAAAATTCAGATACCAATGCGAATTCAACTCTGAAGGATGATATTTTTGTATCACTGATATTTTATTCAGACTTACTGTATTATTAATTAACTGCTAAAGTGTACAGATATCTTTTATTATTAACTGTGAAAGTGTATATATTTTTATTTTGGGATACAAGATGAGATACAAGATCGATATATTGTCATTTTGCACAACTTGGTTCACCTGATTTCAGGTTCCAATGTGAACCTTAAAAAAAATACCGTAATAACTTTGACTTAAATACATAGTATTTACTATTAAATACACATTTCAAAACAAAGGTGCAGGTTACATTAAATACATTATTAAGCACCCTATAATCAAATTTAGAATTTAAAAAAAAATATTATCAAATCTAGTCCGTGTAAATCCAAGTAAGATAGGCACTCCAGACTACCATAGGACCGGTGGTGTATCTACAGCAGGGGTGGGCATTTAAAAGGGTGTGAGGGCCAAAGCCATTTGGTGGGCTGCAAAAAAAATAGTTGATGGGCCACACTTTCCCCACTTGTGATCTACAGTGTCTTGCCCTTGGCATTCCACTTCCACTTGAAATTTCCCAGCAAAGGAATTACTGAAAACTCAAGTAGTGTATAGTAAATGCTGCTTTATATCACCTTTAATTGCTACCTAACGCCCACTCGCTCAAACAACGAGTCTCACACTTAACCTTTGCCCCCCACCCCATCTTCCCCATGTCAATACAGTACTCAACTGTAAGAGCCTAATCACACTTAAGAGTTACGACAGATCAGGACTGCTTCAGGATCTCGTTTTTTGAAGTGTGAACAATCAATTAATTTTAAGCCGGGCCAAAGCCGAACTACAGTAAAGTTAGTCAAACTTTAAAGTCGACTCAGGTCCTGCAATGCAAGACCTGGGCCAACTCATCTTCATATCTGAACGTAAACTGAATCTGGGTCATCAAGGTCGCCTTGATAGCTTTCAATTTTGATATCTTATACAAACATTTCACACAAAAAGCGGCGCAAAGGAGGAATGTTAACATTCGCAACTGCAATTGGAACGGTCGATGTAGTAGGACCTAGGTCACCATAATAAGTGTGATTGGGCTCTAAGAACTACAGTAGGTCTCTCAATGAAAACCAAGGGAGGCCTAGATCGTCGGGATAAAGGCATAACCATTAATTTTATTTCATGATTATTTTATGTTTGACCCTAACTGGTACAGTTTTTAGTTTGTAAATTAACCTGGTCAGGGACAAAGATTGATTCTGTTGGACAACTTGTACCGATTCCTAATCCTATGCATCCTGGCCTTCCTTCAGAAAATCCACTAAACCAGGATATTGGTTAGATCTTATAAAATAAATTTTCAGTATATAATATGTGAATTATTTTATTATTATTATTATTATTGTTGTTTTTGTTGTTGTTGCTGTAGTTGTTACAAATTATTATTGATAAAATACAGTTATACAATAATTATTTTTTTAAATATTTTTTTATTAGTTATTATTTATTGTTGTTAGTTTTTATTTTTTGTTTACAATTTGAATTTTGCTTAGAGCAGTTCCTCTACTTTGGTCATTAAACTAAAAAGATAAGGCACAGTAATAAAAAATATTATTCTTATTTACTATACATAATTACACTACTCATGATAACAGTATTTAGAGGAAATATTCTCACATAGTGAAATTATTAATTGGAAAGGTTTCTTGCTCCCTATTAAACATTAAGTATTGAAAGTAGCCATAAAGTAGGCCTACTGTACAATAATAGAAATATGCTTGTTTGTTGTGTTTACACTAAAGGAAATAGTGAAGAAAATTAATATGCTTACTGTCAAATTCTGACATTAACATTTAATATTTATTTCGAAATAGTCATAATAATAATAATACAATAGTGATATAAGTGTGAATATAAACAAAACAGGGACTATTTCAGGCGTCAGAATTAGAAGATATTACTGGTGAGAAGACATATTGTATATAATAAAACAATGACAATAGCTACTATAGTATGCAAAAGACCTTGCTGCCATTAAAATGGTGATTATGCTGGCTCTATTACTGGATGGCAAAGTAGGTCGTCAGACAATACATTCTAATTAACCACCAGCGCTTAGAATGCTAACAGTACCAACCGCAAACTACCGTACTGTACACCTAGATTCAGTCATTCAAATAATACTAATAAAGCACACTATTCACCCAGATGTCATCGATTATGACACAAATTGTTTACTGTATGGCAGTCAAACATAATATCTCAATACTGTCTATATGTTTATTTATATAGTAACTTCCTGTAATTATATAAATATACTTTAAAGTTATATAGTGCAATAATAAAGCACACTATCACCATCCTAATATGAAAAAGTATGACATAAATTTTGATATGGCAGTCAAATCATAATATCCCAATACTGTTATATATGTTTGATTAATTTAACTTCTTGTAATTATATATTTAATGTTAAGATATATTTTATTTATAGTAAAAATGCATTTTCTCTTTCATGGGCTTATTTGTTTATTATTTTCCATTTTTATTTAGTGTTTTTTTTTATAATATAGTCTTCAGCTGCATCTTTTTAATTTCGTTTGTTATACCTGAATAAATATATGTTTTGAGATAGATTTATATATTTGTAATCATTGATCATAATAATCATCATAATTTAATATAAAACATCATACACTATTCACCCAGATGTCATCGATTATGACACAAATTGTTTACTGTATGGCAGTCAAACATAATATCTCAATACTGTCTATATGTTTATTTATATAGTAACTTCCTGTAATTATATAAATATACTTTAGTTATATAGTGCAATAATAAAGCACACTATCACCATCCTAATATGAAAAAGTATGACATAAATTTTGATATGGCAGTCAAATCATAATATCCCAATACTGTGTTATATGTTTAATTAATTTAACTTCTTGTAATTATATATTTAATGTTAAGTTATATTTTATTTATAGTAAAAATACATTTTCTCTTTCATGGGCTTATTTGTTTATTATTTTCCATTTTTATTTAGTGTTTTTTTTTTATAATATAGTCTTCAGCTGCATCTTTTTAATTTCGTTTGTTATACCTGAATAAATATATGTTTTGAGATAGATTTATATATTTGTAATCATTGATCATAATAATCATAATTTAATATAAAACATCATACATTTATATGATATATATATATATATATTTGTACCTCTTTAATTCTATTTTGTTTTTTATTATTTGTCTTGATTTTGTAATTTAAATTTTGTTTATATTTACTTTTAAACGGCCTTGTGAATTATTATTATTATTATTATTATTATTATTATACAGTCTAGGCTAATTTCTGCTTTAATAAAGAATTATTATTATTATTATTACTATTGTTATTATTATTATTATTATTATTATTTATAATTATTATTTTTATTATTATTATACAGTCTAGGCTAATTTATGCTTTAATAAAGAATTATTTTATTATCAAACAGTGCCAGAGACAATATATAAATGACAGATACATTTAAAAATAAAATATTATAATAGATTGTCATTATAAATCCACAGTATTTACAGTTAATATGATATCTGTGTACTAACTGTAAGATGGAACAAATTATGGGGATTGCGAAAAATGAGAAAGATTGCCAATTGTATCGTATCAATGATGTATATCCCATGAGGCGTGCGTGCATGCATGAATGTGCGGAGAAATTAAAACATCAGTGCAATCATAACGAGCAAGGTGTGATAATCCAGAACAATATTATCCTAGGAAATTCAATAGTATCTTACCGATAATGTTCAGTAAACATTTACGTTTTTATAGTATTTTATGTTGTGTATCTCTCTCTCTCTTATTTTTTTCTTTTTTTTTTTCATTTTTCCTGCTTCATTTGGTTGTTTTTTTATTGACTATTGATTGACATCCAAATGAAAAAATATTAACAAATTATTGACAAACTATAATATCATAATTGTTCTATTTTTTAAAATTTTCCAGTTACATCTGCTCACTTGTTCCGCGCATAGAGACTCGTATTTTGCGCAATATAAATGAATAACCTTTAACCTTCAATAATGATGGGTAACATGTCTCTATGTCGCCACATTAGAGACCAATGAAGGCACAGTTTGCCATTTGAGTTTTTAAGTCTCCATCTTTTGAGCTGTGTATTACCATCTCCAGAATATGATATCACCACCATCTGTAGACTTCATCAACACCATACCATGTAATTGATCTTAAAACAAATTGATTAATGTTATACTAGTAAATATTTAATCAACTTTACAGGTTCCAGTCTACTGTAGAAAATGCATTGATAATATTATGCAGATAGAATTGTTTATAAAATGTAGACTGTTGTTGGACGTGTATGATCCACTGATGTTTCCCATAGGAATAATTTCCAGCACAATGACTCCATATTCTACTGGATAAAAGCTTATAATACAAATTTATAATCCCTACAGATTCATTTTATGGTTTTTCCTGTTCTCCACCATTATAAAATATTTAATTGATTGTTGAATTCCATGAGAAATCAGTGGACTATTATTAACGTTAAATAAATTCAAATTAAATTTGGGCCTTAAGACAGTTATACATATCTTTTAACGTTGTACTTTTTTTCTATTTATGCAGGAAGATATGGGAATCTATGGAAAGAAAGCCGATCCATTGCGAAATAGGGACATGACAATGAAACGAGAAATGGTCGTTCAATACATGAAAAGAACAGGCTCCACACGGGTAAGATAAGGCCAGACCACCAAAAAAATGATATTTACACCATGCCGTGTTAGAGATGTTGGTGTAGTTGTTAGTGTACTTTCTGTCCATCCCCAGGATTTAGGTTTGAATCCTATACTCCACATACTAGGAATTTTCCCCCTGAATTAACTCCATTCTTTAAAGTGTGGCATTATTGTCGGTGTCATAGTGTTTGATCAAACTTTTGAGTGGCGAAGTAGAGAACTGTCCTATTTCAAACAGATGAAAACCATGATTTGTTTGATCAAATACTGCATGTCTGAAGCAATCATGCTATATTTATGTATTATATAAAACTAGTTTGTTTGGAATTCTCTGAACAACATCTTTCATTCATTATACTTTCAAAATGTTACAAGTTGTATTGTTTATTTATAGTTTAGAATTAATTTATAATGAACTAATGCATTCTTTATGTTATCAGAGTGATAAGACGTACCAGACTCCGGGTGACTTCATCGATGGTTTGCGACAGTACAGTGCCACGGATTACGACCATTTACTACCAATACTGAAAGCTTTACGCGTGGCACTTGCCAGTAACACGATCAGCTGGGTGAAACAGTTCGGAGATAAGGGTCTCGGGCTCATTATCGATATAACCGAAGCATCTTTTTCAAAGTGAGTATATTTATTTGTTAAATTTCTACTGTTATTTAAATTATTATTTAACAATTATTGAAATTATTGTTGTTTGCTGTTAATGTTATTTTGTTTTTGCTGCTATTATTCTTATTATTGTAAGTTATTGTAAATAAATTTTTATTATTATGATTTTTAATGTTATAATTTTAATTGGATAAAGTTAAAAACCCTTGAAGCAGCTGTTTACAGGGTCTACTTTGAGTCATTTACTCATTCACCATATTTCCTGAATAAGGAGTTGCAGAGTATGTGTTATTATTATTATTATTATTATTATTATTTTATTTTTATTATTATTATTATTATTATTATTATTATTATTATTATTATTATTATTGTTACCTGTATTTTTTTTTTTTTTTTTTTTTTTGTTATTTTTATTGATTAGTTTTCTCCAGACTTTTTTTTTGTAAATATTTTAACTTTAATATATTTCTTATATTCAAGAAAGTAATTTCTGTAGGAATGTTGGAATTGCAAATAATACAGTAGTTTCTTTGAACGTTGAATGTTGTCATGGTTACTATTATGATATCAGGCCCTTTGCCCAAAGCATGTTCATAGTAAACAGTAGTTATCTGTTATACAATAATGTATATCTGTGAAGTGTTTATTTTGTAGATGAAGTGGATTCAATCTGTTTTTTCATTGTTTTCATCATTTAAAATCATTTAAAAAAAACATAGTAAGTTTAATCGGTGGTGGATATCAAGGGGGAGGGGATGAGCCCACCCGGAACCCTTCCCTCCCCCTAAATTTTTCTAAATTATTTTTTTGGAGAAAAAAGGAAAATTAAATAAATCTATGTCTGAGAGTGCGATTTCTAGCCATCTACCATACCAGGTACCCAATGTTCTTACCTCCGCCCCAACCTGGTGGGGCTGAGGTGGTCTGAACCCTTATGTTAAGGTCCTTCCCTGCCCCCTCCCCCCTCTTCTAGTTCAAATTCCTGTATCTGCTCTCTGTTAATTATTTCAGTACTACAGTAGGGTGCAAGTTCCAAATACACAAAAAAAATCTAGCTTACAATGAAATTATGTTTATCTGTCACAACTAGACAAGACAACTATTATATTATCCTATAAATAATTATGATAATTAAAGTGTTATTTCCTTGTGATTCTTAAGCACATGCTTAATGGTTACTACAGAAACCAGCCCAATGCCAAGTTCTACTCAGTGGTTTTGTAGCATCAGGACTTCCCCTTGTAACACTTTAGTAAACCACTTTGTAAGCTCATGACTTAACAAAACTGACCCACTAAAATTGTTCTGTTTTACTACCGTATTGAACATCACTACAGTGCATAGTATGATGTAGGTTCCTGAATGACTCAATTTCATCCTAAGAGAATAAATTAAATTATTTTACTCGAGTAGATTTCAATTATAATTTAATTCATTGCAAAACAAATGTTAAAAAGTAAAATTTAAAAATTGAATTTTTAATGTAATGTCAGATAGGCCATTGTATATTGAACTAAAACATGGCGTGCATTGTAATTTGCCACAGATAAAGTACAATGATTATAATAGGCCTACTGTATGCATGAAACTAAAAACTTTTCAACAAGTACTTTCGGTTATAAACTATGTTGAGCATGTAATTATGCAAATTGCATACTGTATCTGAGATTTATTTCATGCATCCTATGCTGGGTCCTAAGTATCCTTTGAGTTGCGGCAGTCCCCAGTGAATTACGGGAGCATCCCATGTGTTTCATGAGTCTCCCATTCCCATGATTTTGCGTGAGTCTTGTGTGAGTTACAGAATTCTTGAGTGAGTTTTGGGAGTTTCCCGTGAGTTGTGGGAGTTTCCTGTGAGTTGCGGGAGTTTCCGTAAGTTGCGGGAGTCTCCTATGAGTTGCGGGAGATTCTTGTGAGTTGCAGGAGTCTCCCATTCACATGATTTGCAGGAGTCACCCATTCCTGTAAGTTACAGGAGTCTTCTGTGAGTCTCCTTTGAGTTGCGAGAGTTTTCTGTGAGTTGTGGAATCGTCTGTGAGGTGTTGGAGCTTCCTGAGAGTTGTGGGAATCTCCCCTGAGTTGCGGAAGTCTCCTGTGAGTTGTGAGTTTCTCCCCGAGTTGTGGGAATCTCCTGTGAGTTACGATTGTCTCCCCTTTGTTGCGGGAGTCTCCTGTGAGTTGCGAGAATTTCCTATTAGTTGCGGGAGTCTCCTGTGAGTTGCGGTACAGTAGTCTCCGTAAGTTGTGGGAGTCTCCTATGAGTTGCGTGTTTCTCCTGGAGTTGTGGGAGTGTACCAAGAGTTGCAGGAGTCTCCCTTTCCCATGTTTTTGATGGAGTGTTTCATTCCTGTGAGTTGCGGGAGACTTCCGTGAGTTTGCAAAAGCTTCCTATGAGTTGCGGGAGACTTCTTTGGCATCAGGAGGCAAGGATTTAACCACCAAACGACGATACATACCCAATTGATTTTAGAACAAACAGATTTTGCTCTAAATTAATCACTGTAAAAACAATTTAGTGGAACTCTTCACCAACATTATTGTATTACATTGCTGTGTATTAATTAACTTCTGTGCAATTAACCCTAAAGAAAGGAATACTGTATTGGCATACTTTAAAAAGTGCAATATTTTAAGTTATATTAAATTATTTTGTGTTAATATATAGTCGTAACTTAGTATGTAAGTTTTGTTTCCTCTTCAAAATGTCAAATTGTTTATTACCTGTCAAATATTCGCCTTGGTTTCCCTAGGTTAAAGTTCAAATTTGTTTAAACGCCTATTCATTTGTAAACTAATAACTGAAAGTACTGTAACTAGGCTTAGGGATTCAGTTATGTATTATTAGTAGCATTCCTAAGGGGAAGGGGTAATATCTAGCCATCAAAGCTGACCATTAGGGATCCTTGATGCTCTATATAACTGTCCATTTATGATGCTTAGGGAATGGAGAGGGGATCCTTTCGGTGCACTTTTTGGGTATCATAAACCAGGCCTCTCTATGAGATGAGACTTGGTGAGTGAGTGGAGAACTAATGATTTTGGAGCGTGGATGTTCTTAAACCTATTCTCTTTTATGAGGCTTGAGGAGAAGATAAGAGTTGATCATTAACTCTAAATCTAATACTCTATCAGCATGGTCTCTACAATGCGTGGATAGTTAACTCGAATGATTTATCCAAGACTCTATGAACCCTGCAAATGCAAATGAATTTGATTTGTGATTCATTATGACATTAAAAAAATAATATTAAACATAAATTCAAAAAATATTTATAAAAATAATTAATCTAAAGATTTAAACATATGATTTACATTTTTTTAGGAAAAAACTACTTGTAAATTTTGTAACCTGACTTTATTGTAAAGTATAACGTGTAATGTGCTTTGCAAAAATATTTATTATTTCTCTTGGCATCTGGTATAAAAGTTATTTTTTTGACCTACATAAAATTTGTATCATTACTATACCCTCAACTGTTATTATAATTATAAATCAGCTTCTTTTTGACCTCCAGTTTTATGTAAGTTCAGGTGAAACAAGCTACATGTCATATCATCAACCTCTCTACACGATTGACTTGGTATTTATTGTTTTTATCTCCAACTGTGTAAATTCATAAACAATCTATTCTGATTAATTCACATTTCACTGACAATTAATTGTTTCTTCATGACTGAAATTACCATCAAATGTGTAACTGAACTTCGACATTTCTACTTCAAAAGATCATTTAACAATATTTTCTAAGGTCATCTCTCATTAGTATGGTTCCTATTATCTGTCATCATTTTGATGTATTGTACTTAATTTCATTATAATTACCTATTTTAAATTCAGTACTGTAAAACACCGCTGTGCCAGTTGATTGTTTGTATCCAACACCCAGGTCACAGGACGTCCTTCGCCGAATCCCTCTATTTAAATAATAAAGATAAACAACATTTGTTAATCTGGGACCACAGAGAAGTGGTCTTTAATCAGAGATTGTATGAAAAGATAAACGACATTTGTTAATCTGTGACCACAGCGAAGTGGTCTTTAATCAGGTGTATTTAATAATTGGAGGGGTTTTTAATTAGAGAGACCTGTATTTAAAGAATTTATTATTTTATTAATATATTTTTATGTTTTATTTATATATTGTGTATATTCCATGAATAAATGTTTTAGTATGTACTGTAGAATCCAGCCCTCAAAATTAACGTCGGCATTCGGCAGTGCCGGCGTAAATGCCGGCGTCTAGGCACCCGTCGCCAGCGAGAAAATTGCCGACGTGCAGAAAAAGCAGGATTGCACACACAGAGGGACTAGGCCTAAATTACACTAATTAAAAAAAAATGGAACTTCTAAGTTAATCCCTTACACACATGTAGCTGTTCTGTCTGTATTCTCCGTTGATTTTAGTGAAAGTGAAAGACGATCCCCAACGCACACGTTCTGCATGCGTCGCCAACATCTCCTAGAAAGAACAGCAAGTCGAGCGTGTTCATCGTCACCAAAGTTTGCTATCCTTTTGACTGTGGTGGCTTTTATTTTAGGGATAAATATGCCCAGAGTATTTTAGTTTTAATTCGTTTTCACAAAAGTAACATGTAAACATATTTCAACATCCATGGTTAGTGCTTATTTTTTATCACTGCGGCTAGCCTAGGTCTACCTAGAACTTCACAGCACTCCGGGGATCTGATGGTCCACGTAGGCGCGCGTAGGCTAGTACTTAGTACTAGCCTAGGCTTAGGCCTAGTACTTGACAACTTTTTGAAAATGCCGACGTAGGACCGGCGTCAATTTCTTAACGTCGGCGATTCTTTGCCGGCGTGCTTTATCCCTAATTTTGAGGGCTGAGAATCTGTACCATAGCAGCATACATACTGACATTTAAATTCACTATTTTATGTTGTGTACTCCGTATTGTTTGTTGTACATGATATGAAATTTGAATTTAAATTGTGAGCTGTACTTAGTATGTTCACAGTATGTACAATATTTATGCATGTCATCACTTGTGCATGCAAATAAACAGTACATGGATATGATAGAGAAACCTTATGGTTCATTTGATAATTATAATATCAGATTATAAATTTCCTTTCTAAGTTGATTATTATATTAAATAAATATACTCCAATTAGCACTTACTTGTGATTGTAATTGATATTACAAATACATAGTTATGTTTAATTGACCATAGTTTTAATCAACATTGTGCTTTCTGAGGCAGAACTTTCAATTATAGTACTGTAGCTCAGTATGTATACTTTTACTTGGTTTCAATATTAAGAATAATACAAATAATAGTCACTTGGCTTAAAAGCATTTCAGCTCTGATTTCTTTACTGTTATAATTTTATTAGAAAGTATTAAATGATATATGATTCCTTTTTCATCAAAAATGATTATTGTGAATAATGCAATTGAATATTAACAATAAATGCAATTACATTGTTCATGTTTCTTGACTTCCCAGAACTCAATTGCAACTGTAAATATGAGTAGAAAAATGAAATGAAAAATGCTAAATCTCTAAAAATTCAAATCATTATACAAAACAAATGACTTTAAAAACTGAATAAAAATTTTTTTTTTTTTTTTTTTTTTTTTTGAATCCTAATATATGGAACTATGATGTGAATTTTGTCCAAGTAGCTTTCATATTTTTGGCACAACAAAATAAGAGATAACCAGCATTCTGATTTCCTATGCATTTCTCATATATTTCTTGAATCTTCAGCCTACCAGGGTAGGGCGCCGCCAGCGTTTCAAATAGGCCAATGTAAATATTTCAAGGAGTCTATTGGGCCCAACTGGTGTGGATGATCAAGCCCAAGCCATTTTTGAATATATTATAGGCTAGTAGGTCACTACCAGCTCCCCCACCCCCAAACTACTGTAAAATGAAAATATACCTAGGCCTACAATATATATAGATATATATGTATATATATATATATATATATATATATAATTTTTTTTTTTTTTTTTTTTTATTATTCTACAAAATTGTTGGTGTGCTAAAAATATTACTGTAATTTGCCCATCAAACATCATTACCAATATGGTCTAAAATCACTATTTTGGGCCATAAAAACTCACTCCAGCTGAATTGTTCTAGTTGAACCACCACACAAATTTGACCCAACCTTATATCTTCTGATAATGTCATGTATCATGCATAGGAACGTTGAGGCCTGCAAGGCTCTGGTTTAGCTTAGGTTAAATGGGGTGGTTGTTTGGGAACACCGTGTAAGGCGAGAAATTTTTATACTGTGTCTCATGAATCTGTCGTCCTCCAATATCAATTATGTTAAATAAAAATAGAATTGCCTGTAACGAATACAATTTAACTTTAATTTGTTTGTGTTTTTTTAACGTTTCAGGACGACCCACAAATCAGTTGACAGCAAACATGAGTGTATCAAATGCCTCAAAGCATTCATGAACAACGGATTTGGCATCTCCACAGTGTTTAAAAACGACCGGGTGCTGGTGGATGTCGCCAGCTGTATTAACCCCAGATTTGAGAACTTAATGACAGATGCCCTCAAGGTCATGGCACCTGTCTGTCTGGTCCCTGATGGGTAGGTTCAAATCTTTCATTGATTTAAATTTTATATCCCTGTTCAATAGCAGAATTTATTTTTACCATTGACATAATACCAAAGAGTATAAATAGAACAAGTCAGCGTACTCCCGGTTGTACAGTAAATACGTCACTCTCCTAGTTACAATGGCAGTCACCATCGTTGTTATGGAGTGCACCCACTGTATTTGAGTTTACGTTGACAGGAAGTGCGCCTGTTTCGATGGTATTATGATAAAGAAAAATAAGGAGAAATCCACTACCTTCTGCGAAAGTATTGTATCATGTGGAAAACAGATAAACAAACCATGCACAATAATGGGTAATCCACTGAATGGCAACAGGCGTCCTCCACAGCCTGCGTATGGCTTATCGTTTGTTTATGTTCTCAATGAACGTACTATATTAGACATTAGCAATATCTAAAAATTTGTGGCTCATAGAGTCGTAATTAACAAATTCTTCTTTTTATGATACAGTATGTCTATTTCCATAGAATTTATTAACATCCCTATTACTTGCATATTTCTTTGCCTTGAAATTAGCAAATGAATGTGTATTTTCAGGGGCGAATTTAGGGTCGGGGCCGGCCCGCCCCCCCCACCCCTCCCCTTCTTTTTAGGAGGTAAAAAAAAGAAAGAAAAAGAAAAAAATTATAGCCCAGAACGCCTCAAATGTTATTTTCGGGCCTCTAAAACACAAACATTTTGAGGGAGCATGCCCTCGGACCCTCCTAGGACCCCCTAGGATGGAGAGTCCGAGGTGCCCCCTTTTTGGAAATCTCTGGATCCGCCCCTGATTTTAACTCTCTATGGCCAACCCTGTTCAGAAGGTATCCTCTTAATAGGGGGTTCTACCATATAAAGTAATTTTTAGATGTGCATATGGGACTAGCATCCTATGAATACCACCAATACCTTTGCCCCGTTGTTATAAATCCGACTCCATAATTTCTCCTGCCCGGATGATGGTACTTTAATAATAGAGTTAAAGTTTTAATAGTAATTATTATGTACCTTTTTTTTCCAGGCATTATAAGGTACTGAGTGCTCTGTCAGAGGTACAGGAGCTTAGGAACAGGCCTCGCTTTCTTCCAATCATTGAGGCATTGAAGAAGGAAGATTCACCCCAGCTAATGGTATTATTTTAATGTTCTGTCCACACTATCAAATTTTCTTTGACAAAAAGTTTGTCTATATGCCCATATATAGTCATGATGCATCTATATATGGTCATGATGTGCCCATATATGGTCATGATGTGCCCATATATAGTCGTAATGCTGTCTCTTATACACATCTAGATGTGTATAAGAGACAGTCATTATACAAAACAAATGACTTTAAAAACTGAATAAAAATTTTTTTTTTTTTTTTTTTTTTTTGAAT